GTATGTTAGATCGAGATGGATCTTGTGGCATAAGCAATGCTACAAACCGGACCAAAGCACGTGTTTATTTTATCCCAATGGCTTTAACATGATGAATGTAGCCTTTCATATTCCTTTTAGATTTGCAATTGCATACTGCTAAGGTAGAATTGTGATATGTTTTATTTTCTAAACGTTATTGTATTGTATTGTATTGCACTTTATTTATAAAAAAAAAAAAATAGAATTGTATAGGAATATTCTTCATGTACAATTTTAACTCCACCTATATATTGTAATCGTTCCCAAGCTTGAGTAAAGAACGAGGATTTTTACAAATATATAATGCTTTAACTTTACATATTCCTTACAAATTTATGTTTTCATTATACTTTGACGAGCGAAAGTACAATAATTGGTTTTAAATAAAAAATTAAAACTATTGAGTTGCGAAAGGCTCACGAGTCGGCTCAGAGGGACGAGCTTGTAGGACAAGCAGAATTTAGGTTTCTTCGATCAAACTAGCTCACTCTAGGCTTGCTCTTCACGTCACCATACTTAACACCCCTAAGCTTAGATTTATAAATGTTCAACATAAAATATTTAAGTAATCACTCAATCTTTTTTAGGCTGATGAATTCATGTTCTCTTATTTGCTTGTAAGTTATTTAATCAATCAAATTGATCTCATTCATTGGCAAACCAAAGAACTATTAAACTGACAAAAAAATACACACAAACGTGTCAAAGAATTTAAATGAAACACTCGACGATTTAGTAAATTTTAAATTTTTCTATGTTCATTCTATAAAAATAAACTCTACGTATTGTCTGTTCAATACACTCCAAGTGTACTAATATTACCATTAAATTATTTTTTTGACAACGATAAATTGTAAACTCGAATGGTGAAATAGTAAATACTACAATGTTATTGTACAAGTTGTCAACACTTATATACTGATTGAGAATAATTTTATTTATGATCAAAATATAAGTTGTTTTTATACTATACTTCTCATGTAAACACCCCACTTATATTATCACAAGTGATCAATAATACTTTTCTTCATATGCTCAATTTCAGATAAATACAATAACGGTGAATGTTAAAATAGAGTTTATTTATTATTAAAATTGTTATTTTATTATAGCAAAACTACACTTTATGAGTAGGCAACTTAAAAAAATTCCCACTTGCCTTAGATTATATATGTCATGTCTTATAATCTCATGCCTTGCTAATGCTTCTCGAAACTTTCGGTTGACATGCTTTTAGTAAACAGGTCCGCAAGGTTATCTGAGTAGCCATCTTATTAACAACCACATCTTCACAACTTACAATCTCTCTCAGTAGATGATTTCCATTTTATGTGTTTAACCCTTTTGGCGTCTCCTTGATTATTTGTTATTTTTTACTACGTCACTATTTTCACAATATATTTTCAAGGATTGTGCAGATGCATGCACCTCCTCAATGGCCATTAGGAATTTCTTAAGTCTCACTGCCTTTTTAGTAGTTTCACAAGCTGCCACATATTTGACTTCCATGGTAAAATTAACAAAGCTTGATTACTTTATACTTCTCCATATTATGGTCCTATTACAAAATGTAAACAACAATCCTGTTATAAACCTGAAAGAGTCTTATTAGCCTAAAAGTTCTAATCGTATATCCTACTAAAATCAGATTTGGTGAAGAGTAAACTAGCATTTGGTTCTTTGTTTTTCAAAGGTGCATAAGGCCAAGCATTATAGCCACCCAATTTTTTAGGCCAGGATTAAATTGCTATCGACTCACTATTAACAACATTACAAATATAAGGTCTAGTGGACAACATAACATACATGAGACTATCCAATGTCGACGCATAAAGTATTATAGTCATTCTTTCTATCTTTTCAAGAGTTTTAGGAGATTACTCCATAGAGAGTTGGATTCTATATCTAAAGGAAAAATTAATCTTCTTGGAATCTTTCTTGGAAAATTTGATAAGTATTTTGTCAATATCTAAAGCTTGGAACAAAGCTATCAGCTTGTTCTTTCCATCTCTTAAGATCCGAATACTTAGAACATAGCTAGCTTCAATTAAGTCATTCATGTGAAATTATTGGGTCAACCATGCTTTTGTAGATGATAACACTCCCACATCATTTGTTTTGATTCAAATATTATCCACATTAAGTATCAAGAAAATTACCTTTTTATATTCTATCTTCTTATGACATAAGGTTTGTCGAAAATTCTAATAAAAATCATTGTCTTAATCACTTTGTTGAATCTTTTATTTAAGATCTTGATGCCTGTTTGAACCCATAGATCGAATATTGTAGTAGCAAATGTTTCTTTCAAGACCAAATTCTATGAATCCTTATGGTGTATCATTTAGATACATTTTTCAAGACGTCCATTAAGAAATGTCTTAACATTCATTTTCCATACCTCATAGTCATAATGATATGTAGTGGATAAGAGAATTTGAATAGATATGAGCATACCCACAAATGAGGCTCCTTGTAATCAATGTAGAATTTGAATAGATTTGAGTACAACCACAAACGATGTCTCCTTGTAATCAATGTCTTCTCATTGGATAAAACATTTAGCTACTAGCCTTGCTTTGTAGGTTTCCAACTTCCTATTCACTCATTGCTTTCTCTTGTAGACCCAATTACACTTGATGGGTTTCGTTCCTTGTAGTGCATCTACAAGTTCAAACCTAATTGAAATGCAAGGATTCCATTTCTATATTCTTAGCATGTTGCTATAAACCTCCAGCCATATCTTCTACGACCTCCTTATATAAAGTCAGGACATCTATATGTTCTATGAAGATTACATGTGAACTTTCCAAACAATAAGTACTCAGAAAATTGTTTGATTACCCTCCAACTTTGTCTAATGGTTAGTAGATCTTGAACTATGAAATCATTTGGAAATATAATTGTTAGGTTTAAATTGTGTTGACTATTCTTTAGACAAAAGGATTATTATAAAAGACTTGTAAAAGTCATGGAGTCTATTGGTAGGTTATATAGATGAGTTAGGTCCTTGGGATTGTTTATGGAACGAAGGAAAAAGTTGTCGAAATTATGCTAGCCTGTTTCCAATTTGTTGCTCGAACATCCAAAATAGTAGCATTATATCTACCCCGTCGCTTGCTTATTGCCCGTGTGAAGCACTTGTTGCTTGCTTGCCGTTGGGATCTCACTTGAGCGACGGAGTTTCCCAATACCTGTTTACTATAAATACACAAGTCTCACTTCATAAAAATTGTGGTTGATCCTTTGATTCTACATTTATAACAATCTTTGGAGAGAAAACAACAATTCTACATCTTGAGATCAGTCGACCACAAGTTGGAAAAATACCTACTTCCTAAACATCATCGGGAAGGTACTTTTTAATAGCTTTTAGAGGTTGCTGAAAATTGAGAAATGTTGGACCAGAAACACAGGATGAGTATAAGAACAATGTGTTCTTGGTGACCCACAAAAAAATAGACAATTTTAGAAGACCGGAAGCAGGTGTGAGTGAAGCACATGTCAGCAAATCTCGGAGATTATAGGAATCAAATCACTGAGTCTAGTGCGTTTTCTAAAATGGATCATAATGTAAGTTCTTATAATCTTTAGTAGAAGTCACTAGCTTTTTCTAGGAGTTCTTAATCCCGTGAAGGATTTTCTTTGTCAATAAATCCTGTGTTATTTAATGCTTTATTGACTATTCTAGCAATTCAACATAGGACAAGATTAATTTGATTGACTAAACATATAGAACAATTAAAATATGACTTGTTGCTCTTAATTGGTAATTTTAATTCTGCGTTATTCACGTATTCACCCCTCTCTAGGTGATTTTAGGTTCGAACTAGTAACTTAGAGCCCAAATTCGATTCTTGACCCTAACTATCAAGATGAATAGTTCATTGTTTGTTCCGCCATATTTTGATTACAGTAATTACACATATTAGAAAGTAACTATGAGAACCTTTCTAAAATCGATGAATGAACGTATTTAATTGAGCATAGTGAATGATTGGACTGCCCCTTCTAGCATCATTGATGGTGTTGTCACCTCACTCCTATAATTAATTGGTCGTAGACTAATTTAGATAAGTGTTTTATTTACGATAGTGCCACTAGAAGAATTTAGGCATGTATCTATGTCTAAGGTTGCTAAAGAGGATTGGGATATTTTACAAACTATACATGAGGGAGCTTAGGCTGTTAAGAATCCTAAGTTACAGATGTTGACTACTAGGTTTGAAGAGATTAGGATGAACAATGATGAGATCTTTAATGACTTTTATGTGAGCTTGAATGACATAGTTAACTCTATCTTCAACCTAGTTTAGAGAATTTCTAAGTCCAACATTATCAGAAAAATCCTTAGATCCTTACATGAGAGATTTAGGCCTAAAATTACGGCTATCAAAGAGAGCGGGGATTTAGATACGGTTAAGGTTAAAGAACTAGTTGGATCTCTCCAAAATTATGAATTCACCATATCTCAACCTAATAAGAATAAGTCTATAGTCTTGAACACTGTTAGGAAATAAGAGTATGACTCTTCTGGTACAGAGAACATCAATGATGAGGAGATACCATATTTTGCGAAGAGATTTTGAAAAATATTTAGAAATAAGAAGAAGCCTCAAGGAAAACATAGAGTGCTCCGAATAAGTCTAGAAAGAGTTCCCAATTTGTAAGATGTCATAAGTGTCAAGGTTTAGGCTATTAGAGGACTGAATGCCCTAATAGCAAAAAATAAGGATAAAGCAGTGAATGCAACTTTCACTAATGACAAGTCTAGCATTGATAATCAAAGTGAGAGGTCCACTCATGATGCAAGTGGGAAGTTTATAGCCTTCATTGCTATGGTTAAGAGTGAATTTGATAAGGACAATGAGAAGATCTAGGAAGTAGATATTTGTGAGCACTTTGAAGAAGAGTTTGATGATGAGAAAGATATTCATGAGGGTTATTATCAACTATTTGAGGAGAGACTTAAGATTAAGATGGTGAATAAAGTTGTGTTTAAGAAGGTTAATGCACTTGAGCTAGATAGAGAGAGACTTGTAAATGAACTTCAGGAGTCAACCACAAGCCTTAGTGAGTTAAAATTAGTCAAAGAGATATTAAAGGCTAAGGTTAAAACCCTGACAAGCGACCTTGTGAAATCCAATACTCAAATCCATTTGTTCTTGAGTGCATCTCAGAAGTTGGACAGTCTTTTACGGTTGAACAAGCCTGTTAGGAACATGAAAGGTCTAGAATATAAGCAGACGAATCATAATAAGGCTAGTACTTTCAAAACCATTTTTGTCCTTACCACCAACTGGCCAAGTATGTTCCTAATCCTGAATTTCAGAACAAGAATATCAAAGGATAGATGCCTACTAGATAGCGTAGGACATACCAACCTTGGAATACATATCATCTATCTCATAAATTTAGACCTAGGTTTATCCCTACTTATAAAGAGATATAAGGCCTGAGTTTATAAATTCCTGAATAGAAATAGAAATCAAGATTTTGATAGTCAAATTGACTTCTTTACTAATCAGGTAAGTCAATTAATCGAGTTAATGACACAGATGATTTGGAATGAGTCTTCTACTAGGCAAGTCTGGGTTAAGAAGATGGATCTCTATGATCAGAGAGATTCTTTGACTGATGATACTATTCGTGTTGCTCTTCAAAAGGAGAGTAGTTTTATGTCTCAACGAGTTAGTATTTTTGGAGCATGTTTGTGCTTATTCATTGTTCTTATTCTTGATAGCATACATCTCGTTTTGTTTGCAATGATGCACGCATTTTTATTTTTATTTTTTTGTGTTGCAAATTTTTTTATTATTTTGCGTGTTTGCTTCATGTTTCTTCAAATAAAAAAAGAAAAGAAAAAGAAAATGGAACTTTTTTGGATATTCCAACATGAAATGTGAGTTACTTGAACATATGTGATGTGACTATGTATGAGTTTAATTGATGAGCTATAGCATATTTTTCATTACTTGTTTAGATTTTCATGGAGTACCTAGTATAGGTTTCATCATGTACCATCTGCACTGCATGCACTATTTTATTGTGAGTGAGACTTGACCGCGTGTGTGAAATTAAGGATGACATTCATGTGTTGGTAAGGTGACTTTGTACATGAATTGACCTTACTTTAGTAGACCTAAGCTTAAGTATACTTCCTTGAAAGAAAAAGTTCAATATCTTATACTCTTTTTCAAAACCTATTTGACTTGAGCAATTAAATCTAAGGGATTTTTCATAACCTGGTGCCTATGGTTATTTGACTTGGGTTAATTGGCCCAAAACTCGTTATAGGGGTCATCCTAGTTGCTTAATAGAGAGATTTCACATAAGATGAAAAAAAAAATTGATTGATGAGCTTCAAAATTAAATTAAAAAAATATTATATGCTTAAATTCATATAAAAAAAGAAGAATATACATAAAATAAGTTTTTTTTATAGGTCATAGTATGATATTATTGATTCAATTTTTATAATCAGATGGATAAACTTAATGACAGTGATCTTTGTCATCTCATTTCTCACAAATTTGAGCTTTAAAGTCCTGCTTACAAGGGATTAGTGACACTTTATACACAGAGGTCAATTATACAGTTTACTCCATTTTAACTTGAACTGAGTTTGTGAGAAAGTTTACTGATCATCAATTTGCTTGTGCATACTATCAATTGCATCTTTAAGTTCTTATATATTGTTTACTATTGAGATTTCAAAAACAAGGGTGAAGTAAAATAATTGCACTTGATATAATTCCCTTCGTCGTTTTTGACAAAAGGGGGAAAGAAGATAGTATTTCATGATATTTTCTTTGAGTAACAATTTGGCATTTTAGGTAGAGTTCGTAGTAGAGGTAGAGATGTCAACAAGTCGAGCTAGCTCGCAAGTCAAAATTTGAGGCTTGAGCTAGGCTTGAGTAAAAAGGGTGTAGACTTTTTTGGCTCGAGTCGAGCCAGGTCGGGCCGAGCCGTAATAAACTGTTGCCTTTAAATTCATTCTTTTTTGGGCTAGTGAGCTCGAGCCGGCAAGCCACGCGGGCTGGCTTGGGCTTGAGCTGACACCCCAAAATGAGGCTCAGCTCGAGCCTTGCATTGGTCCAGCTTGGGCTTTTACCAAGTAGAGTCATGGACTACTCGAGCCGACGAGTCAAATTGACACCTCTAAGTAAGAGAGAGATGATAGTATTTCATGGAATTTCATATCATAATGCATCATAATACCTAGCCTTTCTAGTTTTGATGTTTTTTAATATTAATGTTTGAGACAATGTTTTGATTAATATTAGTATTATTTCTCAATCTAGCTAGCATATTTATAATAGTGTGTTTTAATTGTTATACATTCCTATTTCACGTGCTTTTACACTGGGTATTTGAGTTGTTGATATCAGGAAACATGTTTAAAAAAGAATACAAGAAAAGACATTCAGTTTGAGTTTGGGTAGATTATTATTATTTTATTTATTTATTTTACTTCCTTAACTTGTGTTGTGTAATTTTATCGTATAATGTCAAATGGGGTGTTGTTAGGTTTTAATTGTATTGGCTATTCTTTAGAATAAAATTATTATTATAAAAGAGTTGGAAAAGTCAAGGGGTCTGTTGGTAGGTTGTATAGATGAGTTAGGATTTCTTGGGGTCGTCTATGGAACAAAGGAAAAAGTTGTCGAAAATATGCTAGCATGTCGCCCATTTGTTGCTTGAGTATCCAAAAAGTAGTATTGTCACTAGCCTGCCGCTTGCCTATTGCTTGAGTGGAGCTCCTATCACTCCTCTGTTGCTGAGCTCTCACTTAAGCAATGGCGTTTCTCGAGAAACCTAATGGGCATTTTTTTCAAGAGTTTTATTTAGCCCATATTATCCAATACCTCTATACTATAAATACACAAGCCCCACTTCGTGAAAACTATGGTTGATCAATATATTCCACATTCATAGCATCCTTTGAAAAGAAAACAACAATTCTACATCTTATGATCAATCAACTACTAGTTGGAAAAAATATCGCATAATAAAAAATACCAACTTCCTAAACATCATCGGGAATGTATTTTCTCAATAGTTTTTAGATGTTGCTGAAGATTGAGGAAGGTTGGACCAGAAGCACATGAAGAAAACAAGGTATTCTTGGTGATCCACAGAAAATAGACAATTTCACATGATCGAGAGCGAAGTGAAGCACATTCCAACAATTCTTGGAGATTGTAGGATTTAGATCAACTAGTCTAGTTGGTTTTCGAGGCTGGATCATACTAAATGATCTTATTGTCTATTGTTGAAGTTGCTGGCTTGGTCCCGAAGTTTTTAATCCTGTGAATGATTTTCTCCGGTAACAAATCACGTGTTATTTATTGCTTTATTGACTATTATGATAATTCAACATAAGACGAAATTAACTAAATATTTAGAACAATTAAAAAATGACTTGTTGCTTTTAATCTGTAATTTTAATTCAGCGTTATTCATCTAGTCACCCCCCCCGCCCCTTGGTGATTTTAGGGTCGAATTAGTAACTTTCAATAATGTTTTCATCAATTTTGGTATCCTTATCTAGTGATATCATTACCTTCTTATTAGCTCGAACATTTCTTAATTTATGGGATCAGATAACAGTCCATCTCTTCCATTTATATCATGTTTTCTAGGTATTCCTAACACGGTGAGTTGCTTATAACCAGGTTGTGTTTAATGAATCCGTGGCATGAAATTTCTCACTTATTTCTTCCAAAACAACGTTACATTTGGACTGACATTGAATAATATCCTTATGGTCTGGGAATGTTACTTTTATAGTAGAAAGGATATTCCTATATAGAGGATTATAGAAATAATATCCCCTAGTACCTTCAGGGCATCTCACAAATAAACATATTTCTGACCTAGACTCCAACTTGAATTGAGCCCATTACATAGTTCCATGGGAGTCTTGAAAACAAGCTTAGAAGGAACTAAGTTAAGAATATATACAAATATCTCTAGTGCATATCTCTGAAATGATATGGTTAGAGTTGAGAAACTTAATTATTAATTTATTCTAGGGATGTCAACGAGTTGAGTTGAGTTGAGACGAGCCGGCTCGCGAGCCAAAACTCAAGGCTCGAGCACAGCTCGAGTAAAATCAAACGGGTTTTTTCAAGCCCAAGCCGAGCCGAGCAAAAGCTCGGCTCAAAAAAAGGCTAGACCCAAGCTTTCGGCTTGGGCCTTAGGGAGCCGAGTTGAGCCCAAGCCCAAGCCCAAGCCTGCTCAATTTTTTCTCTCTCTCTCTCTCATTTTTTTAAATTATATTGGCAGTGCTGCTGCCTTAAAAATAAGGTAGCTCTTGCTGCCTTTTTTTTTCTTTTCTTCATTCTTTTTTTAAATAAGGCTCGAGCTTGAGTCGACGAGCCACATAGGAAAAAGCCCGAGCCAACGAGCCCAATTGACATCCCTAATCTATCCATATCTAACAATGCCCAGTTTCTTTGTTTCGAACATCATTTTGTAAGGACGTATTAGTGCACTTAGCCGAGAAATTATACTATTTTCACTAAATAGTCCCTGAATTCTTTTGAGAGGTATTTGTTACCTCAATTTGAGTGAAATGTCTTTATACTCTTTCCTAAATATTTCTTGACATCAGCCTAATGCTTTCAAAAGCATTTGATTTTTGAGTCATGAGGTAAATGTATCTAAATCTTGAGCAATAATTTGTAAAGGCGATGAAATACTCGGCTCATCTTGTAGCTGCTATATCCTTTGCTAAATATAATCTCTTGGTCATATTGCATTCTAAATAAGAATCACAAACTGACAATGGTTTAACTTCAATTGAGTGATCACCCCTTGTAGTTTTTGTGTTCAAATAAAGTTGATATCCTAGTCTAAGATGTCATAGTTACATATCATTAGTATGGTGGCATTTGTTTCTTATGGATTGCAGAAGTATATTTCATTTGTGTAATACTTATAAATATAAAGATCATTAATCAAATATCCAATATAAATAAGAACTTTATTTATGAAAATGTAAAGTGCATCAAGTCCAGATTTTACAGAATAACATTGCCCATTAAACAAGAAATATAAATAATATTTTGCTTCACCCAACTGACATAATAACATTCATTTTGTAATTTATCTAAAATTATATTTTCATTAAAGTTTATTATTTTCCCCTCATACACTAATTTATGTTTCAATTACTTTGTTGCATCTTTATACACAAAGTTATTGAAACGTCTTGCGTTGTCAATAATATCAATCTTTTTTCATTCTATAAAGTTTATATGAGGATTGAAATTTATATTTTTGCAAAAGTTTGACAGGCAAGAATTTAAAATAATTTTAAAACTATTTTTTTTCCAACAATTTTTCATAGTTCTAATCACTTATGATCAAGATTCTAAAATGCGCGAGAGTAGACCTAACAAATCAACAAGGTCAAGCATCATACCTTTAATGTCTAAGCATAAGAAGGCAATTTTTTTTAATAATATTGTTTTAATTAATATAAGGTGATTAATTATTATTTTAATTATTAAATGAGTATTAATATTAATTTCTTTTATTTCATTTTTTAAAAAGAAAATGAAAAGAAAAATAAAAGTAAATAAAAATGCAGGCTTCTTTTGTAGCATATGCCTATGATTGATCGTCTTTTTCATATGAATTAAGCTTCTTGTTCAGATGAAATGTACACGAATTTTTATAGATGATGGGGTGGCAACACTAAATTGACTGATTTGAAGTTATTTTTTGTTCGACGTCCAATAAAATTGTGATAGCTGGCGATCTGTTAAATTGTATAGCAATTTTTTTTTTTTTTTTTTTTTTTTATATATTTAGCATGAATGTTTTCATATGATGCTCTTTTCCCACTATTCTCGTCTTTCAAAATACTTGCTTCTAACTTTAACCTTAATTTGCAAACTAGGATCACGTGTCAACTTAGAAGTAAGTTAATTTAATTTTAAACAATATCTCTTTTCAAATATATTAGAATAAATATTTTTATATATTTTGACTTTTAAAATGAGTAACTGACTTATTTTTAAATTCGACTAACAAAATATATTATTTATTTCCTATACATAAACAAACTTATAAATAATTTTAAACATAGCCAATTGAGATGGCAAAAAAACCCACTTGCCTCGAATGTGGCAAAAAAAACCCTAACCCGATGGGTTT